TTATCAATCCATCGTCATGAAACAATAGTAATGAAGAATTGAGATTTATTTGTGTTTGGTTCAGCATTAGCCATTGATAAAATATGTGAACTATCATGTTTTAATTGAGGATGAAATTCATCTGGAAAACTCTTTCCTCTAATTGATTGAATACAAGTTCCATTTCTCAATGGATCATCCGATAGAGAATTTCAATTCAAGAGAAAGACAAAAAAGACAAAGCTGTTTGAATCATAAATTGTTTAGTTACTCGATGAAAAATACATTTATTATAATACGATTGCTTCGAATGTTGAATGAAACTTTCATAAGTTTTTGATACAAATTCTAGAAATAATCTGAAATGAATATCACTATATGTTGTATAAAGAATAGTTGATTGAAATAATGATGATAAAGCTTGTTCCTCTGTCGCTGTTAGAAGTTCTTTATGTAATGATTTTTTATCGTAAATATCTCAATCATTGTCATGGTCACTTCGATTATCTGGAACAAAGAATATATTGAAAAGAAAAAAAGGAATATAAGAAAGACTAGATCTTGAGGATTACTATATATAAAAAGATAGAATCAATTCTTTTTATAAGCTGTTGTAAAAAGAATTGTTGAATTGAACTGATCGGATGAAACTGTTACTGTTGATGATTTATGAAATTGATAAAGAGTTAAATGAATAAATCCTATATTTTCAATGGTTCCAAAGAAATGTCGAACAGAATTTGTTCTTAAATTTAATATTTTAATTCCATAGAAAATTGAATAGAAAAGAAATGTTCTTGAGTAATCAAATTGAAAATTAATTAATGAATAAAAGAAATCATTTTTTCAAAATCTTTTTCAATTATTAATTGACGTGAATATTCAACATTATTCAAAATATTTAATGATTTTGTTTTTCTTTTTCCCCTTCATCATTTTTTTTTTGAAATATTTTCTTTTTTATTTGTAATTGTTAATGTAATTCTTTTTAAATATCTGAATGTTCAACAAAGATTTTCATAATTTTTCCTTTTAATATATCAAAAACTAAAAAGTTCTCTTTGTGTTAAGGATTGAACTAATAAAGCAAATTATTTTTCTGATAGAGAAAATTCTAATGTTAAAGGAATTAATTTGTTTTTTTTTTGAATTAATTGAAATAGATTTGTATCTAATTTGGATTGAAATTCAATTTCATTTGATAAATGGTCGGGATTTGATGGAGAACAATAATTAATTAATGATGATTGAACACAAAATACTTCTAAATCATATTGAAAATAATAGAAAATTATTAAAATTGATAATGGATAATCAAGTTTAGTTAAAATTAAAATTGATTGACGAATATTTAATGTTTTACTATCATAGAAATAAATCGGATGATGATTGACTATCTGATATCACTAATGTTGCTAAAGATTGATGTGATGAATAAACAGATGATGAACATAATGGAATACAATCTAATTTGACCATTGTTATCATATCAAGTACTAGAACATCAAAGATTTTTTATGTTTGATATCCACATAATAAACATAATAATGTTTCCAAATAATTGACACATAAACGAACAATTGGATCTATAAAGAAATTATTGTTTTATTCGAGAAAAATTATCGAACATAAATGAGCACAAAAATGTTTGACAAATTCAATTGGTTCTGGAACTGTTGAAGAATTTCTAAGAGGGAAACAAGCTAATTCTTTGATTGCCAGGATTGCTTTGATTGCTAACGGTTACCGTTGATTGCTTTCGTATTTTGTGATGTGAAATATTGGATTTCAATTATTTCGAACAATTATAAACGTCTTCGACCCTAAACAAGGCAACAGTCCTTGTCGATGCACCGTTTATATGTGGAATAAGGTACTAATACTGTTTTTTTTTCATTTATTTATACATGGTTTGGTATAGCTTCATATATTGATTACAAATATATAATTTTTATTTCAATGGAAGAACTAGCTAGCTAAAAAAAACTTTTAAAAAGATCAAAATTATGGATAAGAGCAAACACATGATCAAAAATTACTTTTTTTTTTGCAAAACTTCTTAAGATTCTCTTATTCTTATTTACTGAACAATTTGGAAATATTTTAACTTGATTCAGCACGAAAAATTGAGTAGAGATAAGGGAGAAAAGCTCAACTTTTAATTGCCAATGATTATTTTTATTGCAATCAGCTTTTTCCTCTTGAGAATTTTCATCTTTCTTATTACTTGATTTCATTGATAGAATGCATTAGATGCTGTTTGTTGTTGTTATTGTTTGAAATAATCAGATGTAATAATTTTCGAAAATTTCAAATGTCCATCTTATGATGCTGTAATTAAAAATTTCACTTGATGTTACAAGATGTATTAAAATATCACGATATATATCAGAACATTCATAATAATCACTTGATGAAGATAGATTACTATAAAGATGAATCTAATTCAGATCAACCAACACTTTTTTTGATTTTCTCTTTTGCATATCTTTGCATTTCATTGTAATTATTAAATTTTTCAATTAATTCTTTTTTTCTCATTAAAACGAATTCGTTTCACACTCGATGATTAATGGATTTCATCATCATCGTTAACAATTGTTTTCTCACGATGACGAATTTTTTTCGATATCGATTTCCAATCAATACAGAAATCGATCGAATTGGTTAAGAAAGAAGAAAATTCGTCTCGTCGTTTTGATTTTCTTAGGCCCCGAACAGACCGACTAATTCAAAGTGAATTAAAACTGAATTAACGAATAAATCGTCTCAACAAGACGATTTAAGTCGAAATAGACCAATCATGTTGCTTAATTTGTTTTATTTTTTCAGTCTGTTTGGGGCCTTAGGCCCCGAACAGACCAAAAATAGAGCGATTTAATTTTTGTTTTAAGTCAGCGCGCGTCCACACACAATAGATAATCCAC